CGTCTCCGCCCGTCCGTAGAAGAGCGGCTCCTCCCCTGCTGGGCGTTCGCCAAGAGGAAGAAGCCGGAGCAGGGCGCGGCGGGGACGCCTTGCGCAAAAACGCACGGCCCGCGGAAGCAAGTTGGAGAAGGAGGGGGTGCAACCAGGGGTCTCGCTCGCTGCTCCCCGATTTACTAGGGGAGAAGGGAGGAGCGGAGCGGGGCTGCGCTGCGGGGAAGGAAGTTTGACGGCCTGCCCCCCTCCCGCTCTTGCACCAACCCCGCTCGCAAGCCGCCAAACTCCGCTTCCTTCTCCGCGCCCGCATTCTGCCTGCATTGCAACAGCAGGGAGAGGCGCGCCCGGGAGAGCTGGCGCTGCCGGGCGTCCTCGGGTTGGCCGGCTCGCTCCGGAGCGCCGAAGTGGCTTTTCCTTTCTTTGCGCCGCCTCTGAACCGGAGACGGACCAAGCGCACTGGCCGCGTGAGCCCCAACGCGCGATCCCCAAAGCGGCCGGATTCTGGAGCGGCGCAACCCGCGAGAAGCCCAGCTCCCCAACTCCGTCGGAACTTAGCCTCGCAAACGCGAATAGAGCCGGGGAGCTGTACCAACTGTCAGCCTGTCTGTTGTGGGAACCCAGCCTGGGCGTAGCGGCTCTCCCCAACTGGGCTCTATCCAGCGGCGTCCGACTACAGCTCCCATCACTCTCTCCCAGCAAATTGGTCAGTTAGGTGTACCCCGGCCTGGCTTAGCGAGTTCTGTCGCAAAGGCACTCGATTGTCCCGGTCCGAGGTTTTCCAATCACGGCCCCCCTCTTCGGATGGTCACCTCCAAGAAAGGGGGATCTCCAAGTCCCTTTCATCAGCACCCAGTCTGAGCCACCCTCTGTATGACTCTTGACGGCGGCCCCTCCTTTGGATGGGTTTTGGGGAGAAAGAAGGCCCTTTTTCAACGGCATTTGCCACTGAAAAAAAATTCAGAGGCATCCTAATTTCATTTCAGTTGTAACTCCCAGCAAGGACCAGGCTGGATTTCTGTAAGGTACTCTGCACACGGACGGCCTTTTGAGTGTTCAAAACTTTCAGCGTGGGCAGGATATGGCCCGGTATTTTATGGAGCGGGTGGAGCAAGTTGCACCCATAAGCCGGATTCTCACAACACACAGGTTCACAAAATAGTTCAGTTCACATAGTAAGTGATGCCCGCAGTGATACGCTGAACGTATCTAGTCGACCCGGTTGTGCAAAACCCATCCTGCTATAATTACTCCAGGTAGACTTCCAGACTCATTTAAAGTGCTGTGATCAACAAAGGGAATTGTAGGAAACTGGCCAGCTTCTGAGATAAATCTCAGAGGCCTACTTGTGGGTCCCTCTAAGATCCACTAGACTGGTAGGTTGTAAAAATAGGCCCTTGTGAAACTTCCTCCTCCCAAGAACGTACTGTTGAATCATTCTGAAAACCCATTTTTCTGAGGTGGCTAGCGGAGACTGAGATAGACGCAACGCGATTAGTCCGTAGTGGTGCCACAAGATCGTAATTCTTTTCTAGCTGGTTTTAGATAAAGATGCTAAATCATGAAGGGACTACATTTTTACCAACTCTCCTGCACTCTTATCTTGCAAATCCTTCACTGGACAATTAGCCTTTGCAGCCCCTGCACCAAGCAAGCAGTTCTGGTATGTTGTCGGAACACCCACCAGAAACCCAGCATGTATCTTTAGATCAACTGATGAAGCTTCCAGTAAGAAGATACTATCGGTCTTCGTAATGACACTTGTTCTCAATTGTTGTGGCTGCACACCATGTGGAACTACAAACAAGCCACTCCTATTTTAATTCCATGTACGATAGCCCAAACCCGGTGGGATAGGTTTATGGCTCAGCGGCTGCCTTTGCTCAGCTGGATTAACCCCGTTGCCTGATCTATGAACTAACGGGTTGGGTTTGCGCTGTGTAACTCTGGGGAATTCTGGGAGTTGAAGTCCACCCATCTTAAAGTGGCCAAGGCTGAGAAACCCTGCTGTATCCTATTATGCCAGCTGCAGTTCATCCCCAACTAAATCGAAAAGTGCTGCTATGGCCCAGATGACCGAGGACCATGTTCTTCAGGAGGTAACTTTTCCTTCCCCTGAATGTTCAGGTTTTTGGAGAGACCTTTCTGTTTTGCCCCAATCAAAGTATATTTGTAAGGGACAGAAGAAGAAAAGCAAAGCGGCTTCTGAAACGTCCTACCGAGGGGCGGGGGCAGCAGCAAGCCGAAATGTTCTCATTCCGACTTCATGTCCACGTGTCGGTATATTAACTAGAAGGTGCTAATTACCGCTTCATTTGTATTGATGCCTTTACATTTATTTGATTTTCTGTTTCTAATATTTTGTTAGCCAACGGAAGGGCCAAATGAAGTACAAAAGTGAGTTAGAAATCCAAGAAACAGCAAGAAATTGCACTAGAACACAGCTAAAGAGGAGAAAAACAGCTTTGAATCCTACCCCCTCTTCTCACTTCCCATTCCAGCAGGCTGTCCAAAAATGTCCATCATAGATGGCAATTGCAAGAACTGCCCAAATTTTCTCTTCCTCCCTCTTTGCCAATTGTGTCTGGCAAACCTGAGGACAGGGAGTGCCGCTTTTTTTATTGGCCTGCAAATCATTCCAGATGCCTTTGGGCTAAAAAGCAGCTTTAAAATATTGTAACCTATAAATAAACGTGCTACCAAAGAACTGGAGTAAGATGTCATAAAAAGTCTGAAAATATATGCCTGTAGCCTGTTCTCCTAGACGTCTTTATTAAGAGTCTGTCCAACTGGCACATTTGGCATTGTACAAGTCACACTTAATAGCTTTTTTTTTAAATATATACAAATACAAGCATTGCTGTGAGTCCTCTCTACGAACAGGAAGATAAAGTGCTTATAAATAGATCACCACAGATGTAGATGGAAGAGTAAGGACATCCATTAATGCTACTCCAATGGAGAAAGTATCGTATGCAGAGGAGATCTCCAGCCATCAGACGCTATCCCAAGAACTGCCAATCTTTTTCTGTCCCATCGGTCTCCATGGTAGGTTCCTGCAAGACTGCCAAAGGTTTACGTTGAGACCGAGGCTGTGCTATGCTTCAGCTTCCAGTGGGAAGTGGCACTTGAATGCAGCAGCTCTCTGTGATTCATTAAAACGGCCGTGTCCTTTTCCAACATCGTTCGGCTCTAGCAGAGAGGCTTCTGCTACGGCCACGCGACCCTTGAGACGTGACGTTTTAACGAACTTTAGACAAGCCCTGCATTCACGCTTCTAAGCGTTCCAACGCTCCCAAATGGAATCCAAAGCCCTGCACAATAGTTGAAACTATACTGGGGGGGGCAGTTGGCATAGCTATACATTTGGCTTGAAATAATAATCAAAGGATAACTTATGAATTCCTTGTATTGGGTGGGGCAAGAGAATGCCAAACTCCTTAAACATGATTAAGAATTCAGGAAAATTCAAAAGTTGGCTCACTCCTTGATGCCATTTTACAGGTAACCCTCGCTTAAAGACAACAATAGGGACTGGGAAATTGGTTAAGCGGGGCAGTTGGTAAGTCAATCGGACTCAATTTTACGACCTTTTTTGTGGCAGTTGTTAAGTGAATCACATGGTTCCCCATTGATTATGCTTGCCGGAGGCCAGCTGGGAAGGTCGCAAATGGCGATCGTGTAACCCCAGGATGCTGCAACCGTTGTAAGTGCGAGCTGGTTGCCAAGCGCCTGGATCACAATCAGAGGATTGCAGGGAGACTTTTTTTGCGCTGTTGTAACTTCAAACAGTCACTCAACAAATGGTTAAGCAAGGACTACCTGTAGCTGGTGCTAATAAAGTCCAACTGTGGATTTCTTTCACCCCTGTAATTTCATGTTAACCTTAACAGAAGGCTAGAAGCCAATTGACTATGAGCTGGAAGGAGCTTCTGCTACGCTTACATCAAGAACCCTGGGAAGCTGGAGAAATGGTATGCTTCATTTCACCACTCTGAAGTTTATCAAGAAACTGGCACAGGCTTATCAGTCAGTGAATGCCCCAACACTAAACGTTAACTTCTTCCAGACAGTGATAAAGGTGTAAGTTCAATCTGCTCTAGATACACGCTAGAGTGGATGAACACAAAATGAGGATAGCCGTGAAATGAGTAACCTCTGGGTGTAAAACAGTTATGTGCAAGGTATCTAGAACAGTTATCAGATCCACAAATATAAACAGATCTATCTTTCTGTCACTGGAAATCAGACCAAAAACATGCTTATTCTTTGATAGGCCTATTTCCAACTTTAAGCCCTGCCTTGTTTAAACCAAATGGGGAGAATGTAAGAGATTGATTTCAAAAGAAGGTATATTAAACAGGAGAGTATTTCTTTTAATTCAAAGCGCTCATGAAGATGAAATGAGCATGGTTGGTACTTACTTTGCATCATGCTGTAGTCTGTCTCTGAATCCAGCATTAGCAAAGGACAGCTTTCCAAATCTTGGTTCAGTACTTCAGAGGGTAACCGATCATTGGCAGGGGGAGTGATCTGAGCCTCGTCTTCTTCCATATCAAAAACACAGAGAAGGCACACCGGGGGCGTAACGCCAGGCCCCCTAGGGAACGAGTCATTTTCATTCTTCGAGTAACTCCTCAGTGCCCCACTGTGGTGCATTGCTCGTTCACGGGACCAGGCCCAGTGAGAGGGCTCTCTCAGCATTATCTAGATAACAGGAAGCCTGACAGTTATAAAAGTTGGTTTCAGGAGACCGTTATGTTAATAGAAGCAAATGTCTCCATTTTCAGGGGAAGAGTCCTGCCACCTTGCTGCATTACAAGACAGCCGTTAGAAAGAAAACCAGTTTTCTGGTTTCACATACACTGGGATTTACTGGTCCTACACGGTTAACAGTTCAGGTTGCAGGAATTCTTGTGTAATCCCATCCCTTTTTCTCAATAAATCTTGCTAAATTGGGTGGTGTTGGGTTTTTTTGTGCCTTTGAGTCAGTGTTGACCCCTGGACATGCCCCTGCAGTTTTCCTGGCAAGGTTTTTCATAAGTGCTTTGCCCTTGTCTCCTTCTTTCTAGGGCTGAGGGAGGGTGACTGGCCCAAGGTCACCCAGGTGACTTTGTGCCTAAGGCAGGACTAGAACTTGCAGCCTCCTGACTTCTAGCCTGGTGCCTTAACTGCTACACCAAACTGGCTCTGCTACAAATCATTTGTGAAAAAAATAATTTTCATTGTTAGGCAACTACAAAAGCACCTAATAACTAGCGTAGACCTTGCAAAGAAAAGGAAGCTGCCTTATATGTAATCAGAATATTGGGGCATCGTTTTTCTAGAACATCAGGAAGGTGTCTTTTTTCCTAGCTCAAAGAGAATGACTTTGAGCATGCATAAGCCCAACGTCCATAACTTCGGGCATACAATAAGCATACTATACATAACATTAAAATTCTTTCCATTATTTATTGTTTTCCCTCAGTCATCCTACATCACTCCCCCACCCTGCTGCCAAGATCTACTGTAGGATTTCCCTTCGTAGGATGGGAAATTATTCTACACTTTCCTCCATCAAGCCACCAGACTTATTTAACAGATCAAACTGGTAATGCAGCTGACCTCTTCACAACATCGCCGGCTAACAAACGCTCTGTACTTCATTTTAGCCCAAAAGCCATCTCGCATTTTTAAGAATTGTGGAAATAGCTTCCTCCAGTTGTCACCAAGTGCCCAGGGGAAGATTTCATATTTATAGTCTTCTGTGTCTTCTTCCATGTCATTTGCTAAGTACCTATAAGCAGGACAAAGAGATGTTGGAAGCAGGGAAAAGCCACTGGGATTCCTTCAGTGACATAATACTGCATGATTTGTCAAGGAAAGCTGGATTACTTTCCCAGTTTGAAATATATCACTTCTTATAACCTAGTTACAGTAGTCATAGTACAAAGTCTGATGCTGTCCACAGCAAATGTATACCCAAGGATAGCTTGGAGCATTAGAATAAGTACAGGAAGATCACCCATCTTCCACTAGGAGCAGTGGAAAGCAAGGAAAGAGTACCAAATGACCTGAATGTCAATATATTAGAGACATTTTTTTTCCTTTCCATTTCTACTGTACATCCTTTACTCTACATCATCCAAAGATTGGTTGTATATATGAATTACTTCTGAACAGGAATGTGAAGTCAATTCTGATTTCAGTGGGATTCTTCCTAGATAAAGGTATAAACTAGCCTTCTCCAACCCTAAGTACTATCCAGATACGTTAATATCTTTAGACGGCCTGAGCACTAGACAATTCTTGAAGTCTTAAAGCAAAACAAATTAACAACCACAGGACAACCACGTAGCTCAAAAGACAACTGCACAGACAACTTACAGAGCTATGAAGAGATTGATCCGTGTATATTCTCTTGTATGTAGGCCGGCACGTTTAAAGTACATCATAGTCATGGCTATAAGATACTGAATGAGAAGACTAGCTTTAATATTTTTAAAGATCATAATTGTAACAGGGGCAGGGAAGAAGAAATCATCCAAAGTACATTCATAGAAACAGAAGTGAAGAGTCAAAATACCACTTGCTTTTATTAGGAAAACTCTTATTGGTCTGTGGAATTTGAGATGAGGCTTTAATTGTCAAATATACCCTGTTATCACACAATGTTATCAAAAGGGAGAGGTAAGTGGCAGCTTTCCAGCTAGGTCCTTCCTACCAGGCTATTCTTTAACTACCTTTTACCAAAGGAAATCCACTAAGAACAGAAAGGTGGAATTTTGAGTTATAGCGTCAGGAGCCCTCTGTTTGGAAACACTATCTTCTGTTGAATTGTTGAGTTTGGTTTGCTGAAATAAGGTTATCGCTATAGCTTAGTACAGATGTAATGTGAACAATCAAGCATGCTGGTCCACGCTGCCTCCTGTTGCCAACAGGAGCTCTTACGTAAAACAAGGAAGAGCTGTCCATTGTATATTTGTTTAAGTCCACACTAGCAATATTGCCAGCTGGCTTCGTGCCTAAGGCAGGACTAGAGCTCACGGTCTCCTGGGTTCTAGCCTTAACTACTACACCAAACTGGCTCTAGTTTTGGGTTACCAGTGTCACATTCAAGAGCAGCTGCAATAGCTTTATTTCTTATGTGCTTATAACTATGGTCAGTACAGATATAGAACAACTGATGCAATATATTACAATTAGCCCTAACATCATAATATAAAAAAAGGAGCTTCTACAGTAAAAAAACAAAATAGAACATAATAACCCCCCTTCCTTAATATAGTTGGCTTTAGGTGGTGAGGCATTTGGGGAGACAGAATATGAAAGAAAAGAGATAACCAATATAACCTATTTTTCTGGAAACTGGAATAATATACTCTGGAAAATTGAGGCAAAAGTCATTTCACCCACTGCCAGCTAAAAAACTCTTGTATTTTTTAACAAGAGCTGTTAAGTCTCTATGATAACAAATAAGCAAAACCCTATTCTGGAAAATCCTGTCTATTTGTGCGAAAAGCAAGCTTGCAATATTGTCAATTAAAATTGAGCTGTAAAACTAAGATTGCTCTAATACTAGAAGTGTTAATAAATGAACATAGCAGAAAACATACCTTGTCTGAGATTCTGTAACATGTGTCCATTGATAGGAAGTCTTGTATCAAGCCATCCTCTGATGAGAAATAAAGGGATCTGATTTAAAGCTATACAATTCATTATTTGTTGTAGACAATGGTTTAAGTTCAGGTAACACAAACTGCCTCATAATATTTTATGCCATTTTATAGCATGTGAAAAATATTAAATAAGCCCAGCAATGAGAAAGAACATGACATGCTTATACTATGGAATTTGCCATTTTTACATATTTAGAACAAGAAAAACAGAAAAAAACGATGAAATCATTAAAGAGATTTGATATAATAGGCCCCCCAAAAACATATCACCCCAAATTTGAGCGGGAAAGAGGATGTCAAACATTTTTCTGGACACATTTTTAGATAAATATAATTAACCTTCATTTTTGTTGATTACACATACTTTCCTAGAGTGCAGCTTTTAGCAACACCATCCAAAGCCCATCTCAAAATATGCCTATTTTAAGAAGCTTTTATCTTTCCCTGACTTAAAATCGAACACTTTGTCATCCAGTGCAAAGGGTGTCTTAAAATCACTTAATCATGGTTTGCTAAAAAAACACGCACCACACACAGCCATAAACCAGAGGTCGGACAGCAATCATTTGGGATCCCAGAAATCACTGTGTGAACTTAGCAAATGATCCAACCTTTAAATCTCATGAGATTTCAGTGAGATACAACAGTGTGATTGCAATTTTTTTTTAATTTGGAGGGGAGGGAGATTTGAGCTCTATCAGGCACCGTGCTGCCATAAAGCAGAGTTGACAAGCCGCCAGCTGCTAAGCCAAAACTGGGCAAATGACACAATGGCTAAACTTTGGTGTCAATTAAGCCAAAGGGTCTGTTTGGCAGGCTAGCTGCACTTTGAATGCTGCCCATCTCTGTACCAAGGAGGGCACAGGTAGATACAACTACCAGACCTAGGAGGTTGAAGAAGGCCTCTTGCTCTTCCCTACGGAGAAGGAAGAATGGCTGCTGCGAAATTTTCAAGGCTGCAGTGGAAAGTTCCCTCTCAAGCGTAGCACCGCCAGAAACCAAAACACCCTGCGTGCTGCGTTGTCGCCGTCGTTGTGTGTTCCCTGGCCTCACTATACCAGTGACCACAGGAGGAACACAAGCATTATGATTGTCTCGCATTTTTCTCTGAAGGGGTGATAGCCGAGGCCCCAAAATGGCCTTCCTGGGAGGGAAAAAAACGCAAACATCCAATTTAAAAGCAGCCACGCTAAATATTAGCTTTTTACAACTCTTCTTCCCAACACATTGAACTCCTTTGAGACTCATAGTTAAATTACATTTCTAACATCAGCTTTACCTATTTTGTTTCTCCACACACCACGCCCCAACCAGAAGGGGAGAAATGGCAAAGTCTCAAAACAGCCCCATACACCTCGCCCATTATTTGCTTAACACAAGATGCATATATTTCTAGAGCTGAAAAGACACAAGGCGTAAGTAAACTAAGCACTGGGTGGGGCAAAACAGAACTCTATCCTGAGATGCAATCAAAGCGATGCTTTATTTAAAAAGGCAGCTTGATCTAAGGAGACTACAAGACTCAGAAGCAACCTTGTGGCTATTCTGGGTTTGTACAACCGTGGTTTAATAATAGTTTCCTGAATTAATCCTACCGTCCTACTTTGCACACAAGTGGACAAGTCCATTATAGCCTTGCACGTTGTACATATACGATGGGACGTACACTGCGCTAAGCAAGGATTTGCCCCAATTGTTGCATAAATTATTCAGCTGGCTTGACCAAACACTCTAGGTTACAAACCAGGATTTAACCACAATGGCTACCTGTACAGACAACAAAGCCCAAACTAATCATATTATAGATACCTAGGTGACAGGACGACTATTTCTATAGCATAACTCAACGCACATCTACAGTACTCAGAAACAACTCCCATTGAGCCTGCTTAGAATTACAGCTTTAAAATCTCATCTGATTGCTGCCCTTAACATGCTCTCCTGGAAATAAGTGGAAGAGATTCAAAACTTTGCCTGGAGCTCAATGAGATGTTTTGGTCATGCAAATTATAATACAAGAATGGGGGCATAATGGAAGGGACCCCATCAAACATCAAGCTACCTAACAAAAATACAACAGAGATGTTACTGAATGCTTGGGATTTAAAGGCGCTCAAGCAGGATACATCTGAAGTTATTTTCAATTAAGATTTACATTTACTTAACATGTCATTTCTAACACACCAGCAGAAGCAAGTAAGTATGGCATGGATATAGTAATTTTAAAGGTACATTTTAATAGTATTTCCAAACACTCAAAGCCTGTCATGGCTGTGCAATTATCTCCTCAAACCTGCCCCAAATTACATCACTGCCATTTTCTCTCCTCTCCTTTCTTTGCTGAGCACTCAGCCCCTTAAAAAGTCCACAAATGCAAAAAAAACTGTTTTGCAACACTTGAATTCCTCTTAGCTAAAAACTTCCCTTGCCTTGCACCTCTCCCTCTTTCCCTCTTCTAATGAGCCACCAACAAGTAAATTTCCTAGTTTTGTTGTCATCCTGACAAGACCAAAAAGGGATCCCTTCCTTATTTTGCTCTATTTCTGGTTTAAGGTGAGCTTCAATTGCGTGCACACACCCTCAAATGTTAGTGAGACTATTCAATCAGGGTGTTTTAATACAAAAGGAACAATGATTAATTGTAGTTTCTGGGGAGGGTTGGGAAGCGCCAACAGGGGAGAGAAAATGGCAGCGCCTCTTCCTTCCCCAGCAAGCCCTTCCCGCCAAATTTTTCCCGCCCTTTTACCCCCTCTTGACGCCCCCGGACCTGAGCAGAGCAACAACCCCCGCCCCCACAGAACTGGAGCTGAAGGTGGGCGGGGCGGCTCCAAGAGCACCGCTAGCCTCGCCCACTCCCTCAGCGCCACTCTTTATAGGTTCGGCCGCCGCTCCGGCTGCACCAATCACCGCTAAGGGAAGGCGGGGATAAACTATCCCTCTGGAACTTGTCCCCCGTCCCCGGGGTTTCGGGCGAGCTGTCAATCAAGGGTTGCTGACGCAGCTGCTCCTTTAATGGGACTTTTAAAAAGGGCCGAATAGTGCTACGTGGAGATATGTTTGCTGCAAAGTGGGGAGAGAATTTGAAGTTTTTCCTCGTGTGGCGCTCTTCATATGCTTTGGGCTGCAGCGCCTTTTATCTCCAGGCATCCCAGCCATCAGATTGCAAACCTATCATCCTTAACCAGCGTGCCCGTTAGATTGCAACCCTTATGGTCCCTAGCCAGCATCCGTAATAAGTTGCAAATCCCATCCTCCTCAACCAGCATGGCCGTTAGACTGCAAGCCCCATTACCCTCTGTCCGATGGAGCTGGGCCGTAAGCGTGGCTTTTTAGATGGCAAGTTATTTGCACCGTTCTCGTCCAGCGTGGCTGTTAAAAGTCCCTTCGCTCACCCAGCCCAGCCGGTAATCGTGTCGGTTGGGGTGATGGGATCCTTTTAAGCATGGTTTATTGAGAAGGGCGTATCTGCAGCTCAGGGTTGAACTGTGGAGTTGTTAGTGCACTGATGATGTTCTCTAGTTGGGTAACGAAACGTCTGCAAGCGAGCAACCAAGCTCAGAGAGCACCAAGAACTCCGTGGTTTATTTGCTAAATGCATCGGGTAAGAATGCAGTGCAAATGTATATCATACTGGGATAAAGGTGGAAGATGCGACTAATGCACAGGGTTGCATTTTTGTGACTGAGCTTGCTTTATTCCGGAGTAACGTCGGGGCTCCTCGGTCCGTTTACACGCTGAGCTGGCGCCAAGCTGCAGCCAGAACGACGCGTCTGCGCACGCGCGCACGGCTGTCCGCATTCGAACCCAGGACCCGAACCTTCCCCGCCACCTTCCCCGCCCGCCTTCTTCGCCTAGCAACGGCTATTCCGTCCCAATCGCCCTAACTCGGCAACGATTTTTCCATTGGAGGAGACGGCAGACTTTGGGCCAATCAGCGGGAGCCACGGGACCCTCTTTTGCCTGTCCAGCCTTGGAGGACAACACTGCGGGGCCTGTTTGGGCCGTACCATAATCAAATTCTAGAGGGGGGAAGCCGAGGAGAAAGCAAAGGACATGGGAACAGTTCAAAAGGACTGGTTAAAAACCACCCTTCCGAGACGCTTCTGGAACCACCGTTTGCTGAGGAGAAAGAGAGGGAAAAGAAGCAGGGGAGAGAGAAAAAGAACAAAGGCGTCGAGCGACGCGTTTGGTACGTCCCGGGCGGAAGTGAGGTGTCTTCTGAGCGTCAGGACTTCCGGTTGGGATAGAAGAGAAGAGTTGTTGGTTCAGGGTGAGGGGGCGAAGCGTCTTCCGGGGCTGGGTGAGTGATGAGCCGGGTCCGGACGCGGAGGGTGGCTGTTGGCGGGGAAGGGGGAGGCTGGCCTAGCTCTCGCCGCGACTGAGAACCCCCCCAGCAGCTGTCATGGCTGTGGGGTGCGAGGTTTCAGCTGTCTTCCCTCCCGAATCCCCCAGACCTATGAGTATGTGAAGCTGTGTATTAGGCAAGCGGTCCTTACGTTATAAATTGTTAGTTATTAATAACTTCTGTTATGAGCAGCCTTTTTATTTTTCAGCTAGGAAGAGCCAGCCAGGTGTGCCCCATTCCCAGGTACCCTATTTCTACAGGTAGGAAGAGCCAGTCAGCCAGGTGTGCCCTCTCCCCCAGGTACCCATTTCTAAAGCTAGGAGGTGCAAGCCAGGTGTGCCCCCTCTCCCAGGTACCCCATTTCTACAGCTAGGAAGAGCCAGCCAGCCAGGTGTGCCCCCTCTCCGGAACCCCATTTCTAAAGGTAGGAAGAGCCAGCCCAGTGTGACCCCTCTCCCAGATACCCCATTCCTTACCCCCCACTTCCCTGTAATTCTCTGAATCTTCTGGGAACACTCATCTCTCTTTCTGAAGGGTTGTCATCTGCCCAAATCCAAAAGTGTTTCTTCTCACAGAGCCTTTAAGAATTTTGGCAACCAAACTCTTTCCCAGCTAGAAGGCAATATGCCCTAGTACTTTAAGCCAGGGACTTTTAAAAATATTATTATTAATTTGAATTTATTAGCTGGCCAATACCAATGGACCCTTCCTTGCAGTGTTACTGTGAAGTGGCATGTTTTGTCACTGATAACATAGAATTTTGAAGCTGGGTATTTATATATAGCTCTCCTTTATCAATCTGAGAATTACAATATTACATCTGTAGGTTTCCCTTCTTTCTCTGATCTTTTTTTCCTGGCTTCAGCCGCACTCTCTACATGGTTTGTTCATACAGAGGCACATGTGTGCTAAGGTATGTGTCAGGGAAAGCAGGCACAGAAAAGTTCTTCGGTGTTACTTGACCAGATGTTGTAGTGCTGCTTTCTTGCCTAATAAGTGTGCCATCTCACCTCGTCCTTTCTCAAGAGATCCCATTCATTTTCCCTGCCCACCTGTTCAATAGTAATCTGACTTTTCAGTGTTAATATAAAGTTCTCTTCTCTGCAGAAGTGTTGTGTCCTGCAAATCTGAGTATTGTTTTGGGGGAAATGATGTCTTATTTCCTAGAGACTTGTGTTTTGGCTACACTGATAGACACCCAGCTGAGGCTGCTATAAGCAGCAACTGATGGAATATGTTACTGGGTTGCACATAGTAAATCATGAGAAATGGGTGATGATATAGAAAGGTAGGGCAGAAACATTTCAGATGATGTATTAATCATTTCTGGGTTGTGGTGGAGGTCTGTGTTGCTTTATTCTTGCTTTTGAGTGTACCCATTTTTTTTAATAGTGGAAAAACTGACTAGAAATGTTAAAGATAAGTGCCTGAACAACTGACAGTATAACACTGTTGCAATATATTCTTCTATCTGTGTTTACACACACTTGGTTTACAGATTCAGCATATAACACAATGGTTTTTAGATCACTTTCATCAATCCCGTGTGTCTTGTAACTATATGATCCTGTAAGTCACATGTCCAGAGTGGGCAATGTAGACATTTGTTAAATAAATAAATCAAAGTGATGTTGGAGGGTGTGAGAACAGGTTAGTCTCAGCTGGTGTGCTACACCAGTTCTAAACTGACAGTGATTAGTATTGATGCAAATTCTTACATCATGTAAGAGTAAAAATGTAGCAATGGAAGAAGCAGGTTAAGATTGCCATATGTTACTAATAGAACATATTATGGATCTGTCTTATGCATCAAATACATCAAGAACAAGATGTAAAAACAGTAACAGGAGTTTAAAATTGCCATATTGTGCTTCCTTGATACATAGAGATTTGGTTTTATGCCCACAAATTAGAGATTTAATTGAGTCTGTCTTTCCAAACATTCACTGTAACTTACAATATGCTATCAAATGATTTTAAGGAAATAAATATAAAAATGGTAAGTTACCAGAAAGTCACATCACTACATGTTGTATCCAGATTTATAGGAATTATGGTAAATATGAGTATTTATCACTGCTTCTTTTTAGAGTATGATCTGTGTACCTATGATGCTTTCCTTTGAACCCCCTAATATTGAAAAAAAAGATACAAAGGGGAACAGTGGAGGAAGTAGAGAAAGCCAAAGACCGGCTGGTACATGGGAAAGAATCTTGTGTTTAGTGATAAATTCTTCAGCTGAATCACAGCAGGAGGGGGAGTATGGATGTGATGTTTCAGAGCTTGGTGGGAAACGTGGGTTTTGAGGAAAAGGTCCAGAAGGTTTCTCCCATAGGTGTCTTCAGCAGAATCCCAGTGTATAAGGGTAGCAAAGTAAAGTGGGTGAAGTCCTTTTGAAGGGACAGGAGCCCTTCAGTTTGCTAAAAGTGGAGCAGGAGGAATGAGAGTGATACCAGAAAGTTGGGTCAGGATGTAAGGGCAGGGTTTTAAAAATAAGGATGAGAATGGTGGGCATGATCTAGATTCAGTCTTTCTCTAACTTTCTGTTATTCCCTATCCTCTTTTCTATGTGACCCCCTTTATGCATTTTTCTGTGCTTTGAAATTCTCTTTCCTCACTCAGCCGTCGCAGTTTGTGCTAGTTGCTCTTCTCCATTTTAAAGGGATGGTAACAGTTCCTCTTAAAAATAGACAGTATCGTTAATCTCAGAATGCAACTGGTTATGCTTATTAATAGGGGTCCTGTATGCGCAGCTCAAGCACATTCCACAGCATTACACTTATCTATTTCAAGAATAACGTGCATAGACATTGTTATTTCTGCTTCCAGCAGCTAATGTGAATGCCTGATTTTTTTAGTTTCACGTTACAACTCATTATCCTTGTCTGTTTCTTTGACTGGAAGGGCAGCTTGTATTTATCTTTTTCTTCCTGGGCATGGGTCAACACAACTCACCGATCCTTATCTCTTGCTGCAGAGATCTGTGAAGCTAGTGTATCTGTTTTATGACTCCTTGGCCTGTTGGAAAGTAGCAAAACAGGATGTCCCACTGAGTCCACTGCAGTGTTTCTCAACCTTGGCAGCTTTAAGATGGGTGGACTTCAACTCCCAAAATTCCCCAGCCAGCATGGCTGACTGAGGAATTCTGGGAGTTGAAGTCCACCCATTTTAAAGCTGCCAAGGTTGAGAAACACTGGTGTATAGGGTGCAATTGCTATTTGGGATCATGGGTTGAAAAAAGTAGGCTTGCAGTTTGGCATTCTTGCGCATCAAGAATTTTGTTCCCCACTGGCAAAATTGTACTTGAGTGGAGCAAAATAACTTACTCCCTTAAGATGATTCTCAGAGTTTACTTGTTTCTATGGACAGCTTTTACACTGATAACAAGGGTCTGAGTGCTAGGGTATTTTTCAGGAGTGGAATTGCCCATGAGTTTAAAAACAAATTCAGTTTGAGCTCACACTACGTTCCCTGTGCTGGCTGTTTATAGAAGATTTCTCCCTGCACTGAACTGATAAGAGGTCTTGGTAGAGAAAGATTGTCCTTCCTAGATATTTCTCCTGTGTTTGATAGCAAATTTTAGGAGATTGTACTGGTGGGAGACAGGACCCCAGATGACCTGCACAATCTCCAATAATATGAGTTTCTGAGCTCTTGTGTAGGAAAACTTCTTAACAGGTGTGCCCCATCTTATCACTGGAATGTCATTCTTGGCTGCTGGAATATGTTGCATCAACTGTAGATTTTAACTGCTGTGTACAAGTTGGCTAACTTGCATTAAACACATACTGTAATCTCTATTGCATGTTTGCTGGGAACGTTTTTGAGCAGTACTTGGTGACCTAGTTGTGTTTTGGGGAGCTCCTAAAGGAAGGTTGCTGTGGAACTTCTGCCTAAATAATCTTACCTCTAGCTTACCTCTCCCTTGTCACTCCTACCAAGCTTCTGAAAGAGGGGATACAGCAGGTTCTGTCTTTGGCCCAGATATATTTCAGCTGCTGAGTTTGTCAGCCTTTTGGGGTAGTCCAGACAAGTGCCAACCATGAGTACTAACACTACCTTTATTGTAAAGGTACAGTAACAGAATCTTGCAAGTCTGAAAGCCCTTCTCTCCTCCCTTTTACTTTCCAGAAAACTAGAGAGGGTCCCTTCTGAGATGCTTCCCATGCCCCTTTTCCTTCTGTGGGCTGAGATACCTTTTCCATGACGGTTGTCTAGGCTGTGGCTCTTTTCCTTCCTGTCTGTCTCCCAAGGTCATTCTCACAGCCCATTGCAGTTTCCCAATTAGCACTACAGCTGTAATCCCAATTAGCAGAGTTACATGTCTCTCTGTGAGTTATGTTGTGTTAGGGAGAACTGAATTAAACATTTAAAACTGTGTTGCTATTTTTACCTTATATTATTGCTTTACTTAAGTTTCTGTAGTCTTTAAGATAAATTCTGGCAATATGTAGGTAATATTTACTGAACTTTTACGAGAAAGATTTAGGATTCAAGGCTTTGAACAGCAGCGTTTTCCCCCATGGCTGTGGGAAGTGGGATCGGTCTTATCGATTAAACAAAGAGGCTGCTTTCTTTAACCCTGCTTGTTTCTCAGAATACACTTTTCTTATTGCAGGAGTTTTAGTATATTCCAGTCTTACAATAATGGCCACAGAAGTGGCTTGCCCAGAAAAAAAGTTTTGAGAGCCTTTCCCACCCCTGCAGTTGATAGGATAAGAGGAGAAGCGGGTTATTGGTTGGTTGCCATGAGAGACCCTCACATTCCATAGGTGAGCAACGCTGGAGCATGCGCATGTGCCAGCGAGATGTGCTTGTACAATAACGGTGCTGTCCGTCAGAGGTTGAGAATAGCAACAGGGGTGCACTGGGCCATGGCAATGCAAATCAAGCAGCTGAGTCTGTTTTCATTTTTCATTTGCTGAGGCGAGTGCCAATTCAGGCGTGTCTGTAACTGAGTTCATGCTGCTGTCTCTTCCTTCCACAGTCTGCCGGACGTCGGGGCTGGAGAGATGTTCCGGACCGCCATCATGATGGCTGCCAGCCTGGCCTTAACCTCCGCCGTGGTGGCTCACGCCTATTACCTGAAGCACCAGTTCTACCCCACTGTGGTGTACCTTACCAAGTCCAGTCCCAGCATGGCGGTGAGTCTGCACCTCTCCAGTCAGTCCCAGGAATAGCCTGAATATGGCTTTTAAGTGTGGCTTTCCCCCAGTTCCTCGTCCTTCAGATGTGCTATGACTCCTAAACCAAGATTTCTAGTCAATATAGGCAGTGGAGTTGTAGTTCCAGCCCATTTGGAAGGTGTTGGGTTGGGGTAGGTTGGCTTAGGGCTCTTGAATATCCAATCTGAAAGGAAGGAATTGCTACATTTTAGGGTGATCTGTCCCAGCCTTCGACCCTTCGGATTTGTGTAATTGCAACTCATATTCCCCCCCATTGTAGATCAAATATATCCTGCTAAAAATATCATCTGACTAACTAGAGAAAAGGATGTTTTTGTGACCAGGGAGGAGAGCAAGATAAAAATACAGAGATCCTTGCAAGTCCTATTTCCCTCTTTGGAATGTTGTCCAAGCAACGTTATTCGTTTTGCTCTCTTGTGATGCCAGGTGCTGTACATTCAGGCTTTCGTCCTGGTGTTCCTGCTAGGCAAATTCATGGGGAAAGTGTTCTTCGGACAACTCCGAGCGGCAGAAATGGAGGTGAGTGTTGCCCGGGCATGCAAATGTTAGCCTTGGTGAGAGGACGTGTTCAGTGGGCTTTGGCAAACTTTGCTCTCCTTTGCGAAGAAGCATCTTCTTGAATCCTTGATCTCCAATTGTTAGAATCCCACTTCTCTGTTCCCCATAATAATGGATCTTTGCTTATGAACCTTCAAAAGCCCCAATTGTAAAACGTTAGTCTTAATTCTCTTTGGCTAAATTTATGTGTGGTGTAATTAACACTCCCCCCACCCCCACACATAATTTAGAGAGAGTTTTGGCTGGGGCAATGTGGAAAAAAGGGATGTGATGGCACCTAGCAGAGAAGAAAGAAATCCAGTTGCATGATTATGGAATATTCAGGACTTCTGGTGTCCAGTTTTTAAGCTTACCTGTTCACGTTGGAGCCAGGATGGCAAAGAACACCCTTTTAATCACAGAAAATCAGGGAGGTCACTGCTCCAGCATATGGCTTGTCCCTTAGCTGGCTAGATTTCCTTCGCCAAATCACTTATTTAGCTGTTTGTTTAACCAATTTGTGTTTCACTTCCCTTCTCAACAGACATCTGGAAGGATAATGTGATAAAGCGAACAAAGAAGTCATTAAAAGTATTTAACATTTATGTTTACAGCAGCAGTAAAAAAAAGAAAGAAAGAAAGAACATAGCCATATATCCATAGACAATCAGTGTAAGGAGGAGGTGGGCAAAGAAGGGGGGGGGGTTTAGTAGGTATTTAGGGATGTAAGAAGAATCCTGTTTGATCCAGCTGCTGGCTAATAAGAGTCCAGCATTCTGGGCCACACAGTAGCCAACTTTGGCACCCGTTTAGCCTATAAGGAGAAAGGATGTTCAAGTGAGAACAAGGTCAGGAAAGCCTGCAAGATTGGCTTCTGGAATGATTTCCACTGCTTTCCCAGTTGTGTCCAGACGAGACCGCTGTATTTTCTTCTGTGTAACAAAACAACGTGTTCCATAGCTGTGTGCTCACCCAGACACTTTCTCCCCAGGGCTGAATCAAGGTGTGTGCATAGTTGTGGCCTGTATGGGTGTGTGAGGTTCTAATTGGTGTGGGTGCATAGGAGTTGCCTGTCTATGTGCCCACCTCCCCTCCTGTTATGTGTCTGTGTGCTGGGAAGCATGGGGTGGGCTGTAGGCCTCTGGATCACATGACCAGGAGCACATGGGGGCCTCAGAATGGAGCCATCAGCAACCTTCTAAGCCCATCTGTCTCTGCTCTGGGGTTGCAAGGAGAGATTCTTTTCGCCTTTGGCCAGATCTAATATTCAGGGAGTACCCGTTTAAGAACGAGTTCCGTTCCCAAGGTCTGTCCTTAAGTTGAATTTGTATGTAAGCCGGAGCAGCCTTATTGTGTAATACTGTCTAAGTAATATCGTGTAATGAACTCAAACCATTGTGTCTCTAACACGAATCGTTGTGCATTTAACTCGAATTGTGCTACAGTAGGCTCCGTTCTTAATTATGGGTCGTCCTGAAACCGAGTGTTCTTAACCTGTGGACTCCCTGTATTTTAAAACCTGCTCTTTCTTTTACTGGGCTCTCCCCCAACCCCAAATTTTGTTTTGCTGTTGATGGATAGGCAGACAAGTCCTGAGCCCTTTTAGCATCATTTCTTTCCCCTTGGGAAGTAGTAAATTCCTGTTATTCTTTTTCATCCCATTTCTCTTGGATGAAAAAGAATAATAATGATGGCTGGAGAAGGTGTCCTTCAAGAGAGCCTCTCACAATCTGGACCCCCCCAGAAGCACTGGGACTCCAAAGCCCAGGACTTGCCACCATGTTGGCTGGGATTTCTGAAAGTTCCTACCTCCTCTGGCGATGCCAGAGTGGGGGGTGCTAACACACTAATGGGCATGTAAATTTGGAGGAATGGTACCAGCAGCAAGTGGGATTTGGGATCAGAGGGAGTGCCTGAAATCCATCTTTCACACACAGCATCTGCTCGAGCGGTCGTGGTACGCCGTGACAGAGACCTGCCTGGCCTTCACTGTCTTCAGGGATGACTTCAGTCCTCGCTTTGTGGCTCTCTTCACCCTCCTCCTCTTCCTCAAGTGCTTCCACTGGCTGGCTGAGGACCGGGTGGACTTTGTGAGTACGGTCCCGCAGAGGCTGTGTGCGTGCAAACCCGAGGCTGTACCAGGTCAGGGTAGAAGTGGGTCTTTTTTTCTTCTTCTGCTTGAAGGCCTTAGAATCTGTCGAAGAAGGCATCTCATTCCCCAACCTGAGAACTCAGTTCTAACCATCCTGGGCATAAGTGGACTCATCCACTTGACAAAGCCTGAAGCGAATTGTGTTTTGTTAGTGGGAAAAGGGATCGAGGGGTTGACCCTTAAATTTGCTATTTTTCTGGTCTAGATGGAGAGAAGTCCCAACATTTCTTGGCTTTTCCATTTCCGCATTGTCTGTAAGTACTTTTTTACTCACCTTTTTTTTTACTCACTTTCTTTTTCTGGAGGAGCAAAGCTGTTACCTTCTTTTTGCTAAAGTTGATGGCTGCCCCCAAGGCTGTTGCTTGAGGCAGAATCCCAACTGAGCTTCTTGAGAATCTAGCCATTCATTCATGAAAATATTCATGAAAATAGTTTCCCAGGGTGGATTGGCTTTGTTTTTTTATCTTAGGGTCCCCCCCCCAGTTTTATTTACCTTTTCTTTTATGTATATAGTTCGTTTCAAAACAGCTTCCTATTTTATGTGTATAGTTAGGCTAACTGTTCACAGTGTGTGATGTCTTTTAAGAAAGTCGGGCTGCGTGTTTTAAAAATCCAGTTGAAGGAAAGCAGGCAGTTCTGAGCTGGGTGGATAAAGGGTCCCCAATGAAAAGCAAGCAAGCAAGCAGCTAGGTTCCTTTTCAGGTGGGTGAGGATTTAAGAGAGCTAGGGATTGCCCAACTGGATCCCAGTCCCTGGATCCTGAGGCTGAAAGGGAAGAACAGTTGGACTGAACGGCCCTTTGATGTTTTTCTCAGCAGAAACATTGCTGTGCCAGCTGCCTTGTTAAAAATACTACTAGTTGGCCGAGGGACAAGTTGCCATTCCACCCTGCTGTCTGCTGTGGTTTTCCCCAAGGTCAGATGAGGACAAGTGACCCAGAGCAGGTGGAGATTCCAGCTCAGATGTTGGCACTGTTTGAAGTACAGCTGCAAAGTAGGCAGATGTTCAGGAAGGCTAATGCTGGATGATTATTTGCATGTCGAAATTATCTTTCTTGGCGATTTGCATACTGAGCCCTGAGATGCAGCCCTCCACAGTCTCCACATTCAGAGGTTTTTTTTTTGTTTTTTTTTAGTTATTTGGCAGTTCCAAACAACAGCCATTCATATTCAAGGGAAACAGGATGATCTGCTTTGGGCCGGCTGCAAAGCTGTGAGGGACCTCTGGCTTTCCTTCTGCCATGTTAGCCGTAGTCTTCTCTTAGGAACAGGAGAGAAACCACGTACCACTTGGGCTCCTGAAGGAAAGGCGCGATAGAAATCTAATACGTGAATAAATCAGAGAGCTTTGCAGTGACCCTCTAGGATATTGTGAATCTCAGGTAGCCGTTGCATGAGTTCGCTGCTGCTTTCTCAGTGGCAAAATGGTCTCCCTTGTTTCCTAGCTCTGATGGTGCTTCTGGCCATCCTAGATTTCCTGTTCGTCAGCCACGCCTACCACAGCATCCTGACCCGGGGGGCGTCTGTCCAACTGGTCTTTGGCTTTGAGGTGAGTAGGTACCCTTTGTAGATACCCACAGAAGCGGGCCCGTGGCGGCTGCCTAAGAAACACAGCACTCCAGACTCCTCCCTCGGTGCCTTTTGGAGATGACAGACACTTTTCTTCAGTGGAGGTGTTTAAACTGAGGCTGAAAAGTAAAATATAAGCAGGTATTTAAAACAAAAAAGGAAGAAGGTAACTTTGAGTGATTTGCTGTCTCTTGGTATGTTACGCAGAGAAGAGGCAGAAGCCATGAAGATGTTTGCATTTAGGATTGATGCAAAAGCAACAGGGTGTTATTGATGAATTGAACGTTGGTTTTATTGTATTTTAACCAGTATTTATTTTTGTCTTTATTGTAATCTGCCCAGAATCGCTCATTGAGTAAGATGGGCGGTGATTAAATTTGAAATATAAATAAATAAATGTTAACTCTCTTCCCATTGTGGGCTTGGAAATGTTTATATCCATGAAATAGCAGCGTGCAAAATGAAGCGACCCTGCTCTGGAGCATTCTGGGTTTTCCCCCCCCAAAATCTGATTCTGGAATTTTTTTGGAAGGGGGACAATCCACCGTGCTTAAACCACGAGGATTGACCCATTCTAAGGATAAAAGCCTAGGGCATTCTGGGAGGAAACAAAACCTTAAAAGAGCTGGATTTCTCCCTGTGATGCCTCTTTTTCTCAAAGTAGACAAGATGGTCAGCCTCGCTCTGCTGCAGGTGGGTTGGACTTCGGCTCCCACAATCCCTAACTAAGCTGAGCTGGGTAGAGATGATGGGAGTTGAAGTCCAGCGCCCCAGAAGAGCTTCAGGTGGGGGAAAGTGTTTTGACTTGATGCTCAGTAACAGGGGAAGGAGGACCCCAAGGTGACTTTTTGTGGGCTTTCCTTTCTCTTTCCATTTGGGTCATCCTACCCCGTGGTTTCCTTAGGCAGCCAGCTGTGGAGTATGTGGTTTCCAGTGCCATTTTTTACCCCCTCTTGTGGTATAGATATGGCATTCAAGGTGCTGATGCCAGGGGACCTGAGAGAAAGGATTTTGGGCGGGCTTTGGTATTCTTTGGGCTTCCCACCAGGGGAAGGGAGAATCAGAGGGAAGCCAAGCCTGTAGGTGTCTCATTTTACCAAATTCCATTTTGTCCTCTTCCTCTGCTTCCTTCAGTATGCCATCCTCATGACGATGGTGCTGACCGTCTTCATCAAGTACCTGCTGCATTCCATAGATCTCCAGAGCGAGAACCCCTGGGACAACAAGGCCGTCTTCATGCTCTATACAGAACTCTTCACGGGTAAGTAGATCCAGGGGTGGAGGACCTGTTTTTCAGGACAAATCCAGTCCCCGTATCCCAAGAAACAGCTGCCGAGGCATCATTCTGCCTTGATTGGGAGGTGTGCTTCTGCAGCCTTTTCTTTTTGGCAATGACCTGGAAGTAAAACCCGAATTGGTGCCTCTTCCTCCTCCTCCTCCTCCCCCTCCTCCCTAGGTTTCATCAAGGTCCTCCTCTACATGGCCTTCATGACCATCATGATCAAAGTGCACACCTTCCCGCTTTTCGCCATCCGGCCCATGTACCTGGCGATGAGGTGAGGCGGGTGCAGGGGAGCTGGGGAGATGCAGGCCTGCAGTTCTGCACCTCTCTGCAGGTGAAGGGGGTTTCTAGCCCCCACCCCACCCAAGATTGCTTGCCCACCCGCCCCCTGGGCCCTGACCCTTGACATCTCCGTTCCAGGCAGTTCAAAAAAGCAGTCACGGATGCCATCATGTCCCGCCGGGCGATCCGCAACATGAACACACTGTGAGTATTTGCCGTGCCCAGGAGTGCGCGAGAGGCAGGAAGGGGGCTCTTTCATATATTATGTTGGGCGTATCATTCTCCAGCGCATCCAGCAGGTTAACAGAAAGGAATGAGATGGGCAGTTTGGCCCAGCTGAAAAAGTGGCTGGATGGAAGGGGAACTACCCCCCCAGATGTTACTCACCTTTTACAACAGCCAAGATTTCCTAAGCTATGTCTCCCCCAAAGCCTTGGATGGAGCCCCCCCAAGTCCCTGAATTTTAAATCTTACCGAAGGAAAAACTGCTTAAGTATATGGGGAGCAGTCCTATTCCCTATAAATTAATTTTCCTTTTCGGAGCAGACCAGTCAAAATAGAATATGTTCCTCGGCCTAAAAATTAGAAGGGGTCCCATAACCCCTTTTCAAACCAACATGTTTTTTTTTCCAAAGGCATAAGCAAAGCTTAAAAAATAAACTTTGAATAAAATGTGTTCATCTGAAAAGGGGCTACCAGGCTCCTCCTGAATGTTCATGGCTGGCTGGGGAATTCTGGGAGTTGAAGTCCACCTATCTTAAATTTGCCATGGTTGAAAAACACTGCTTTATGCTGTTCACAGCTGCTGAGTTCATGATCTCAGCTTTGGACCCGGCTGGGATAGGGAAGAAACTTTGGCTTCTGACGTTGTTTTCCTCAGGTACCCTGATGCCACTCCAGAAGAGCTGCAGGCCATGGATAACGTTTGCATTATCTGCCGGGAGGAGATGGTGATGGGTGCGAAACGTCTGCCGTGCAATCACATATTCCACACCAGGTGTGGGGAAGGTGTTTTTTTTTTAATCCAGTAGCATGGGTGAATCTGGGTTGATCTGAAAGCGTGGAGTTGTCTGCAGGAGCAAGATGCAGCCCGCCTTGGGTTGGAGGGAGACCCTCCCTCTCTCTTTCCTGTTTGGCTCAGGTCAGGGAGGAAGACGGGTTCAAAACCCCCGGCTTCTGCTAATCACCCTTGTGAAGGTTTGAGCTGCAGTATTCCTTTGGAGTCTTTTTGGATTGCAGTGGGGTAGATAGGCGTTTGATAAATAAATCCGAACACAGGCCTTCATTTCATTTGAATTGAGGTTAGTTGTAAAGGAAGCTGCTCCCGTCCCCTGGGTTTAAATTTGGCTTCTTTGGAACAAACTGGTTCTGGTTAACTGAGTTCTGTCGCCTTAGGTGAGAAGAGAAGTTCACACTTTGGCCAAAATCGAAACTTTCACATTTTTTCTGTCCCTTGTGTATGAAGCACATGTCTGTGTGTGTGTGTGCGCGTGAGAGAGAGAGAATTGGAAGGAAGCTTTGATTTACCCAGTAGAACTGCAAAAGACTCTCCTCTTCTTCAGCTGCCTCCGATCCTGGTTCCAGCGCCAGCAGACCTGTCCCACGTGCCGGATGGATGTCCTCCGCGCCTCCCTGCCCACGCAGTCCCAGCCGCCTCCCGAGCAGCAGGAGGGAGGGCAGCATCCGCCCCAGCCCCAGGCCCCGCTGATCCCCCAGCCAGCGAACTGTAAGTCCGCTTTGCAAGCCACTGTGCTGTGGACGTCTTGAGCAAGTATTCGGTTGTGCTCCCAGCAGGAGCTTCCCAAAGACCACGCCGTTGCCACCCTCCCAAATTAGCTGGCTCAGTTGGATGCCCACCAACCTGGCCTTTGTTTGTGGAGCTGGACATAAGACGTGGAATCTTGGGCACATTTTCAGCTACATTTACTGTCTTGCCAGAGTTATGGGGACGGGCTTTTCTGAAACAAAAAGCGGGCTGAAGATGCTTTAAATAAAGGCAGGTTTAAAATCTTGCTGGCTGGCGTAGTCTGGTACTCTTGGAAGCAGTGCTGATGACCCTCTTTTCTTTCTGCAGTCCCCCAAGGCCTCCTGCCTCCATTTCCTCCCGGGATGTTCCCACTTTGGCCTCCCATGGCTCCCTTCCCTCCAGTGCCAGGGGTCCAGCCCCCCAACAATACCGACGGTGCCTCCGCTGCTGCTTCCTCCCCACCAGGAGCCCAACTGGCAGGTGAGACACCCCACAGCCGGCTGTTCCGCTAGTTAGCCACCAAGGGGTCTTAACTGGGCTCTGTTTCCCAACAGGCGCCACAAGGCCCAGCGGGGATTCCGCATCTACGTCAGACACCGAAGCCTCCGCAGGGACCGTGCCGGGTTTCCCCTTCCCTCCCCCTTGGATGGGCATGCCGTTCCCCCCTCTCTTTGGTATGTTCAAGAGTACCTGTGTGTCCTCCACGGGTGTTTTCCCACAATGGGCTGAGGGATCAGTGGATGTTTTCCAGTGATTTGTATCTTCCGTGATGGCCTTGATGGGCACTTCCAACTCTGTGGTTCCCGGTGGAGGGGCTAAAAAGTACGCAGCTGATACAGGGAGTCCCCAGTTTAAGAGCAAGTTCCTTTCCCTAAGTCAAATTTGTATGTAAGCCAGAACAATATTATTGTATAATACTGCCTAAGTAGTATTGTGTAATGAACTCAAACCATTGGGTATTTAACTCGAATTTTGCTACAGTAGGCTCCGTTCTTAACTAGGGGTTGGCATCCTTAACCGGGGGACTACCTGTATTTGCAGTTCGGAGCCTCTGGTAGCAGATGGAATAGTATGTAGGTTCGGGGGAGGAAGACAAGCAGGTTTTCTGCAGCTCTGAGAAACTTTTAGCTTTTGCTCACTAGGCGTGGGGCCTTGTGGGTCTCAGTGATGGGCACGCCTTTGAAATGCAACAGGGACAATTGCTGCTTCCTTAATATGTAGGTATGTGTTTATTTAATAGGTTTTTATCCTGCCTTTCTTTCGATTCGCTCAAGGCAGCAGGCATGCCCCAAGTTTCTGCCTCCTCCTTTTCCCACCACAGCAGCTCTGCGACGGGGGTTGGGCTGAGAGAGAGAGTGACCCAAAGTCACCCGACTCACTTTTGTGCCCAAGGAAGGCCTGGAACTCCCAGTCTCCCAGTTTGTAGGACCTTAACTTTGGCACCGAACCGCCTCTCTCTCAAAATGCTTAACAGGGTCAAGAGAAGGATTAGGGAGCTGTGTGAACCCCCTAAACTGCATACAGAGGGGAAAAAACTAAGAAAAGCCTGGGAAGCATGGTGGGAGGAAGGTGTCCGGAAATAGCCCCTTTGTGGTTTGGAGGGAAAGACAGCTAATGGGGCCGTGGGGTGCCTTTCCTGTTCTCAGGTTCCTTTTCGAGTGAGTCTTCCTCTCCCACGTTCCCCTTCCTCTCCTCTCTCTGCTGTAGGGTTCCCTCCAATGCCAGTTCCACCTTCAGGGTTTGCAGGGCTGACGGAGGAGGAGCTGCGGGCCATGGAAGGCCACGAACGGCAACACTTGGAAGCCCGACTGCAGTGCCTCCAAAACATTCACACCCTCCTCGATGCGGCGATGCTGCAAATCAACCAGTACCTCACCGTGCTGGCGACGATCGGGTGAGCACCGGGGCGCCTTCCCCCATAGCCCAAGTTGAAAACTGAATGAGATGTGGGAAAAAAAGTTCTAGGGTGTCTGGGGAGAGCTTTTTAAATGGGTGTAACTTGGGATCAGGGCATGCTGGTGGGGGATTCTGGGAGTTGTAGTCCACACGTCTTCAAGTTGCCAAGGTTGAGAAACACTGCTTTAAACGGTTCCTCGAAGATCTGCCTTTTACCTTTCTAAGCCTGCCAACAGTTTAAGAACTGGAATGGAGGCTCTTCTCTGAGAGTAGAAACTTTAGCCAAAACGAGAGCACGTGCTTTATTTACAGTGCCCCTCTACTTATGGGTCTGCCTCCTGAGGTTTTTCATTCTGTCACTGCCAGTTTTTAAGAAATCCCCAAAGTTCTGTTGATATATCCAAACTTTCCCCTGGTTCCCACTGAGATTCCAATTAGAGGTGGGTGGAGTTTTGTCATTGAGGGACATGTTTGAACTTTGCTAGCCTACTGGGTTTATTCCCTTTATTCCTTTAATCCCCCACTCCACCAGATCTGACCAGATAGGCACGCTCCAGATTCTGCTATGAAACAGTGTCATCTGGGGGGACCTAGGAGACGTGCCTTCTCTGTTGTAGCATCTGCCCTAGGGAGCAGCCTCCAAGAACTGAGGGCCCCAACCCTCCTGGCCATCTAGAAGGCCATAAAGACCTGAGCCAGGATGTTAGTTCAGTCCGTGACAGGTGTAGCTGTGTTGTGAGCCTGTTACGGTGCCTCAGCTCTTGTATTATGGTTCTTTTAACAATCAGAAGAGAATATGTGTAGCTCAGGGGTGAACTGTGGAGTCCTTGGGGTTCTCTGAGCTTGGTTGTTTTCTTGCAAACGTTTCAGTGCTGCTGAAGATGTTACCTAGCTGGTGAAACACAAAACATAGTTAAAAGACTGTGGAGTCCTTGGGGTTCTCTGAGCTTGGTTGTTTTCTTGCAAACGTTTCAGTGCTGCTGAAGATGTTACCTAGCTGGTGAAACACAAAACATAGTTAAAAGACTGTGGAGTCCTTGGGGTTCTCTGAGCTTGGTTGTTTTCTTGCAAATGTTTCGTTACCCAGCTAGGTAACATCTTCAGCAGCACTGAAACGTTTGCAAGAAAACAACCAAGCTCAGAGAACCCCAAGGACTCCACAGTCTTTTAACTATGTTTTGTGTTTCATGATTCTCCCTCCCTCCCTCCCTCCCTCCTACAACTGCCTGGAGAAGTCCTTGCATTTTCCTTGGCATCGTTCCTTTCAGAAAGGCTGTGCCCTCCTTCCTAGGGCTGAGAGAGAGAGACTGGCCCAAAGTCACCCGGCTGGTGTTGTGCCTAAGGCAGGACTAGAACTCACACTCTCCTGGTCTCTAGCGTGATGCCTTTAACCACTACGCCAGACTAGCTCTCTTTATTATATATGTCTGTCTGTTCATTGTTGTTGGCCACCCAGGGAGCCCTGACAAGCCGGTATGGTGCCCAGGCCGTTTGTGAGGGAGAAGGAATTCTTTAGCCGGTTCTTGTGTTCTTCCCACTGGATCGCTGTCTCTCTTGTGCAGGACGCCGCGAGCCGCCCCAACACCCCCCAGTGCTCCAGCCACTTCGGCGCCCTCTCCCGAGACCCCTAGCCCTGAGTCGAATTCCACTGAACTCACCCCCACGACTTTCCAGCCTGCTGACAGCACCTCTTCGCCAGGTAACATCACCTCGACTCAGGCAGGTGGCAAGAGGGGTGACTTGGAGAGGGATGTGTCTGGAGTAGCATCTTAGAGGCCTCAAACGTTGCACCCAGTAGACCAGTGTTTCTCAACCTTGGCAACTTGAAGAAGTGTGGACTTCAACTCCCAGAATTCTGGGAGTTGAAGTCCACACATCTCAAAGTTGCCAAGGTTGAGAAACACTGCAGTAGACATTCTGCTTGGGTCTTTCATTCTCTCTTTCAGCCTCACAATTGAGCGAAAGATTTGGGGCAGCTAAAACCAAGGCAAGGAATGGGTTACCTCTCTTGGCTAGGCAGTTGCTAGGAATTTCATGGAGGTCTGAAATAGGCAGGACTGGGGCTTCCATGTTGGTTCCGCGGCCTTGGAACTGCAGGAACCTTTCTGGCTAAGGAGTGCACCAGACGCTGCCATCTGTCATCTGAAGCTAAATCTTTCCTGCGCGTTGCATGGATTATCTATGCTGGATGGGCCAAGCATGACCCTGGCCTTGACGGATGTCAGAAGGGTTTTAAATCTGCCCCTTCAAAGCATCTTGAGGACTAGACTCACAGTGGGTTTCCTGGCTGTCCGCAAAGCTGCCGTATAACAAAGATTCGTTGCTTCTTTGATTTTGTTCCCTCCTGCCCGGCCTTGTCTGTTTCAACAGGCAGGCTCTCTGAGCACCCTTTGGGCTGGAGCCCCATTCCTCTCTGCTGTGGATGCTATAATATATCGATCAGATTCGTGCAGAAGCTCCTTCGAGGATTCTGGAGGGAGTAATTAAAACGGGGGCCCCTCCATGGAATTTCTTGCGCTGGCTGAAGGATGGCCCTGTGGGAAAAGCCAAAGCCAAAGAGAATATATCTGTTTTTTATTTCCATGTCCTCAAGCAGAGTTCACAGCAGGTATTAGATGACAGAAGGCCAGTGTTGTGGTGCCAAAAGTAATTTTAACCAGCACAACCAAACTCAGAAGGAGGATGGAAATGAGGAACTGCTTTGGAAGAGCCCCATTTTCAAAAACTCTGTCGGATTATCGTTCTTTCCTTGGTGTTTCCAGATACGTCTCCAGCGGCAGACAAAGCAGAGGGTCCAACAGAGCCATCCAGCCCCAGCCAGGATGGGGAGGCCTCCTCCCCAGAAGAGCCCAACGCAGCCGAGCTGCGCAGACGCCGGCTTCAAAAACTAGAACTGCCTTCTTCCTCTCACTGAGACCCCGGTGAGCCGTGCTCCCTGCCTGGGGTTACTTGCCTAATGGACTTCTTTCCCTTCCCTCCCCCCCAAACCAAATGGAAACGAGAAGAACCAAGCCTCCCCCCCTCACTGCGGCAGCAGAATGCAGAGGGGCACAAGGAAGAAGACCTGGATGTCTTACCTCGGGAGATGGGGGCTGCAGTTCTACAGGACTGTGGTGGGGGCGGTGGGAACAATGGGCAGGGCGAGTTTGCCTAGGCTTCTACCATTAAGAGGAATTAGCAGTGTCTTCTGCAATACAGGCCAGGCCGACCTGCCCCGTTGCACCAGAATAGGGATGCGGCTTGTTTCAAATCTCTTGCGTTGGTGTCTCGACTGGATGGAGCGTTAGCCTAGAGACAGCCGGGGTGGGGAGAGTCTCTCTCTCTCATTTGGGAGGGAGGGATGCACGGTCTAAAAGTGGAGGTAGTTCCTAGTTTTGAGAGCTCCCCTGTCAATTAGGCAGAGGGTAGCTTCTCCCACACAATGCTTTGGTCTCCTTTCCTAGGCAGGACGTGCGTGTGCGTGTGGGTGCGCACGTGTAAAGTTTTTGCTAGTCCGTCCTACGGAAAGCAACCGTGTCATTTTGCAGGGATAACGAGCTGAAAGAAGAGCTTCTATTTTTGTAGGGGAAACAGCCCAGTGGACATCTCTCGATCACTTTTGTCCTGCCAAGCCTTAGTCCTGTTCTCTTCCCTCCGGAGATGCTTTCCACTCTCCCCTTCCTGTGCAGCCAGCCTGGGATGGGGCGGGTGGGAGTGGGGGCGTTTGAATGAACGAATTAATGTTCTGGCAGATCGAAGCCTCTCTTGGAGGCTTCACAGTAAACCCGTGACTTAAATCTTTTTCTCTGCTTCTTTCTTTGGCTCTTAAAAAAGGGGGGGGGGATTCCCAAAGACACAGGACCGAGGAAGAACTCTTACGCTGCCTCGCTGCTCTTGGGGGTCCAGGAAGGGTGGGAGTCTGGAATAAGATTTTCACTGCTTCTGACTGTAGCGGTGGGGTTTGTAACCCTGCGTTGTAACTCTGGATATCTACTCTGGCTGGCAAGGAGAGGTTTGAGGGCCAGGGGGAACCACACAAATCTGGAGAGAGCTGAGAGTGTTCTTCCAGCAGGTTTACATCCCGTCAGTTGGAAAGAGTTGGCTCTACTCACCGTTTCCAGTTTTGCTGTTCTGAGAGCCCTCTTCTTTCTCTGCAGCACTTCTGCGTCTCTCGGCTCCTGCGCTGTCTTGGCGTTGCGTTTTGTTTAGTTTTGGTTTCTGGACAGAAAGAGCCCCTTCCCATTTTTGCAGGGAGGCCAATTTTCTGATGAGGTGCTGGAAGCAAACCTCTTTGAGAACACAGCTATCACCAGGTGTCCATGGGGGGGGGTGTCCCTGAGCCCTGCAGCCGCGCTTCGGCCCCCTCTTCTGATGAGTTGCTGTCCTTTGCGTTTCATCCATGAAAGGTTTTTGGAAGGGTAGAATAGAGATCCACCTTCCAAGACAATTTTTTTTCCTTTGAAATCTCTGTAGGAATTCTAGACAGGCAAATTGAGCCTCGTGACATATGTAGGGGTCCCCGAGTCCCAGGAACAGGGCAGTTTCCCCCGGACTTGGCGATTTTCACACTACAGGTGTTTGGTGATGTGTGTCCTGTTCCCCATTATCATGGGGAAACGACTTCTGAATGAGGCTCTAACCCTTCCCAGCGAAACCCCTTCATTCAGCAGACTTAGCATTTCCCCCCATTTTCCCTAAAGCCTGCTTTCCTAAAGCCTGCTTTTCCTCTGCATCGCTTCTAAGATACTGACTTTTTTGAAATGCTAGACATCCCCCCCTCCTCCCCCCCCACAACAGATCAGCCAAACATTTGCATTTTGGGGCTGTGGAGTATTTTTTTTTCCTGAAGCACTATTGTTTTAAGATGGGTCAATGATCAGTATTGTTATTGGCTAGATCTGGAGGCAGAACAGGGCTGGCTGAAAGTATTGATGTCAATAAAAGACTGTGCTCAAAGCTTCTGTTCAACTCATCTGTCCGGGTTTCCAAAAAATGTTGGGAGTCCCATTCTGTGTCTGCCACCGGAATCGAGTGGGGACGAATTCACACCGTGGGCAGGAGGGATGAAATTGATCCGCCTCTCTCAGGGCGACACAGGAACGTTAACAGCAAAGGGTAGAAACTGTGAAGAATACAAGAAGCAGTTAATTCAGCGGTGGGTGGGTGTGTTTTTATTTTCTACTCCAAAACAGGAGTCTAAACTGGAGAGTGTTAGGTTAACCTAAATCTTGGTGTATTTAACCAGCATATATTTAAGAATCCATTCTGCATTTTGAATGTTAACTGCAAAGCCAGGAGGCTTAGAAATTTGGCACAAGATGGACGCCCACCCCGTTTCAACTGAACAAGAACTGCCAGATTACCCTTGAACCATCTTAATAGTGCTGGGACATTGTGGGGGGGGCGGGCAGTATGACTACAACTTCCATCTGCCTCCCCCCCTTCTTTCCGTCCTCTGCAAAGACTGGGCTTTGCTGATTCCCATTCTTTGCTGGCTCTTGGGTCATTGCAGAAACCCGTTCTCGGCCCAAACTTTGCTGTGCAAACAACACGTCCCATTTCCCACCCCGTCTGTCTAGCTGGCTACCTTGTGCAGGCATGGCTATTCAAGCAAGAACATTTTGGGAGAAGCAGCCTCTAAGCCGAGATTGACAACCAACCAAATTGCTCAGGAGGGAGATGATGGAGGCAGAAGATTGCTGGTCTTGATTTCTGCATCTTGCCGGTGTGTCCCCAGCCCCTTTGAACACTGAGGCAGCAATTCAAAACAGAGTAAAAGGAGACCATTCCCTAAACCAGTGCTTCCCAAACCTGGATAAATTATCCAAAATTGGGTTAAAGTGCTTTTTCTTTGGGTAATGACACACAAACCCATTACCCAATCACAACAGGGACATTTAAATTAACTTAAAGATTGCCATGTATACTAAAATAGATTTGAAAATCTTCCAAAGTATTTCTATCAATGAAAATGGATGAAATTACCAATGGTAATTTGTTGAAATGACATAAAGATCAATGATACTGTTTTTATAACACAGGTAGTCCTCAAGTTATGACATTCGTTCAGTGACCATTCAAAATTAGGGTTTTGGGTAATGGAGGAAAAAGTTTGAGAAGCACTGCCCTAAATTGTCCCATGCAAGATGTAAGTGCATTGGACATAAACTGGCAAGATGCAAATTTGGGGGGGAAATGCCCCAGAAGTACAGAGAATAATTGCCTGTTTAGAAACCTTTATATTTCTCCTTCTCTAGCCCCCAGAAGGGAAATGATTTTATGCCCTCTTTGTTCCCGGTGAACAGAGTCAGCTACGTTCTTCCCTTCTCCAAGCAAAACGAAGTGTCTACGCCAAGTCGAGTCTTCCTGTATTTCTCGGAAAGCAGTCTCGCAGAAGCCGTTTGAGAACGATCTCTTCATGCTCGAATCTCCTATCTGTCCAAGAAAAGTAGTATTTTGGTGGGGGAAGAATCACCCCCAATAAAGAAGTCACTTTTAGTTCCAAAGCAAACCTGGATCTTTTTTCTTCTAAAAGTTTCAAAGAATGCTTTCTTTTTCCAAAAGGAGCGAATGCAATTGTTTGGGGAAGAAAGCGTCTATCGTTCCTCTCTGGTTTCTGTTCAACTCCATATTACACATGGAGGTGAAAGAAGTATAGGCTAATTTTTGGGAGAGAGAGAGATTGTAAATACTGTATAATTTTTAGTAGCCTGAATTTGTGTAAATACTGCAAATAAAAAACTTGCTTTAAAGTTTGCATGGCCTCCAATCTGTAATGTTCTCGAGCCGTCCCAAGACATCACAGAAGGAAGGATCTGAATTTAAATAATGTGTTCAATGCAATAATTCTCTTTAGTCCTTGCTAGGTCCACCAAGCGATACTAAATTAAGGGCATATCAGAGGCAACATAACAGCGACAGCAACCTAGCATTGTGCAAAGGGCAAGATTCTGCCAGCTACCCCTTGGCATTGAGAGAAAAAAACACGGACAGAAAACATCATGGCTACTAAGATGGATGTCAGAGGAAGAGCAGCTGATGATTCCAATCTTGGCTAGTTTTGCAGGTAGATGTGCTTAATACACTACGAACAATTTTTAAAAGCATGTTGCCCCCCCAATCCAGATGTTTATTAGATGAACCACCTAGAATGTGTCCATTGCATCCCTTTTTCCCCACCACAACCACCCCGTGAGTTAGGTTGGCCTAAGTTTCCATGACCTGAGGCTGGACTTAAACCTGGATTCCCCCAAGTTTGTCTGATCAACTAACTAACTTCACAGGCCCCAGAGCGGTGCCACCGTGGGCTCCTTTTTAAAGCATCGCTACCTTCTTAGCGGAGGGGGAATGCATTTCTCTGGAAATGCGCGAGCTGAGCGTCTTGGGGAGGGGGCTGTTTTCCATGTGTGCCCAGGGAGTGGAAATGTGTAATGCACTCCTAGGGGAAGTTAAAGGAATTTGGAGATGTGATCTGTCTTCTTTCAATTGCCGGCAGAGGGCTCTTTTGGCTCGAAGTGCAACATATCCGCTTAATGTAAATAAATGAAAAGGAAAGTTCCTGGTTCTGAAAAAGCAACTTCGTTCCAGTTGATCTCTTTAGCGGTGATTTTCTGCCCTACGAAGCAGTCCAGGTTCTTCCCTGGCAGGGAAACCAATGAGGCAGCTTTCGACAAGCCAACTGGGGTAAGAATTGTTCTGGATCACTTGCCACCTTCTCGGGGAACTTGGACCGAGAAACTGCTTTGCACGCTTGCACCGTTCAGTCCTCCTTGTTTCTATTCTCCAAGGACGGGCCAGCAATGGGAGAGCGTGCCCGATTGAACCATGCAAGTTACTTTTGCACTAGGTTGGGGGCATCAAAAAAGCCAATGGAGGGGCTCAGCTGGGAGATCTGGTTTGAAAGCAGCTTGTTCCCACGGAGCACAAATCCACACCGACAATTTGAATCCAGTCGCGCCTGGATCACGTATTTTTCGTAATGTGCTAAAAGCGTGCATGGACATGCGTGAGAAATGCTGAAGATCTTTTTCCACGCTGTATAAATGTACGGAATGCTGTATTGAATGCTGTTGGTGGAGGTAATTACTTTGTGACGTTTATGAATTTTTGTGACGATGTTTATATGCTCGAGGATTGTTGTTATTGTTTTAAATTGTACCGTTTGTTTTTTTTACATTGTTTTATCTGTAAGCCACCCAGAGTCATATATATGAGATGGGCGGCCCTATAAATTAGAAAAATAAATAAATAGTATCAGCTCAGACCATATGATGTAGGTCTACGTTTGAGCGATTCAGACCTTTTTTCTTCTTAAAAGAAGATTTTTTTTCTTCTTAATGTTTTCTTCTTACAAGAAGAAAGTCAGCCTCAGTTCATCTCGTTCCCTTTTCCCATCTTCCCAAGAGGGAAAGAGTTAAAAAAAAAAGTGTTTTGTTTTTAAAGTTTAAGGAAAAAGAGGGGAAAAATGAGTTCACATCGGCCACCAAGTTGGTTATAAGGGAATTCAGGGAGAGAGACGATGGGAAGCCGATGTGTATTTCTCCTATCACGTATGAATCATGCAGCAAGCTTTAGGGTAAATGGGTTTTAAATTTAGGCTGTCTGGTCCTAAACTGGTGAGGTTTTTTTTAATTAGACTAGGATTGCCACCAAAATGATCATGGCTGTGTGTGCATGGCCTTTCCAGGGCCACACCTGTCTTATCACGTTCTGGCCATTTTTCCTTCTTGCGGAAGAAGAATAAAAGTCCAAAGGTGTGTACATAGTTACCTGTATGAGCCTTGTTTCTCAGCAAAGATATTTCATAGAATTATAGAGTTGGGGAGGTACTCAAACAGGCTCAGATGGGGTTAGTTTCTAGTTCAGAGGGTTGTCTTGGAATATTATGTGAATTCAACTATTCGGTTTTGCCTCTCCATTTAGCGTACCGTTTCAAATTACATTTGTACTTTAATAACCACAAAATCATTTTTTTCTTTCTTTTCTTTTTTTGGTATTTGTAAGCCCAGAGCCATAACAGAACTGTTTACCTGTACATTTTCTTTAAAGCAAGCTTTGAATTTTATTTCCCTGGGTGGGACATGAATTATGTGCCTCTAACTTAGAGAGGGGAAAATAAAAATTCTGTGAACAACAGAAGCATGAATATTGATATATCCTGTTCTTGAATGAAACTTTGAAAGTTATATGTTACAAGATTCTCTTCTGCTTGTCTGGAGGAGTTGAAACAAGGGTTCTTATTTTCAAGGTCCCATTTATTTATTTATTTATTTTCAAATTTGTATGCCGCCCATC